GAGCAGGGAGCCCGATGCGGGACTCGATCCCGGGACTCCAGGATCATGACCTGAGCCGAAGGCAGTCGCTTAACCAACTGAGCCACCCAGGCGCCCCTGCTGAAAAAGATTTTGAAAATATTCCTAAATACATGTTTAGAATCTTATGACATATCTGTATGACTAATTTACAACTAGATGTGAGTAAGGAAGAAGAACTAAATGTGTGGAGTATTTCAGAACTGCTGCACTTAAAAGCCTACCCACAAACTTATAGTGCTTTCAGAGATTAATCGTTGTTAATAGCCTTCTAAACAGCAGTAAGCTTTCAACCTTAAATTTTTTTAAAAAGATTTTATTTACTTATTTGACACAGAGAGAGAGCACAAGCAAGGGGAGTGGCAGGCAGAGGGAGAGGGAAGAAGAAGGCTCCCCACTGAGGAGGGAGCCCGACGCGGGGCTCCATCCCAGGACCCCGGGATCATGACCTGAGCTGAAGGCAGACGCTTAACCGACTGAGCCACCCAGGCGCCCATCAACCTTAAATATTTCTATATAAGATATGGTTTCAAAGAAACTCACAACATAGGTACAGTGGGCCTATTATGGAAATCCATTATCAGTGAATGTGAACATCTGGCCATGAAGTTCTTCAATGGATATATGAAAGATTTAGGAAAGATTATTTTTCATTAGGAATCTTTAGTTACGCAGATTCATGGTATGGTATGGTAGGTCATGGTATGTGGTGGTAATATTTCTAGTCATGGGTGTAAACTCTATAATTTAGAATTTAAGGGATTAATCTGCAGATTATGTAATTAATGTCACCATAAATTACAGTTTACACCAGTAGCTTGGAAACATGATAACCTGACATCTTCCCTCTAATTTGCTTTTGACTTCACTTGAGATGGCACCTCCAGCTCAGATATTGTGAAGGCATCCATATCTAAAGATGATCTGAATCTTTTCTCCCTAGAGGCACTAGATCTAAAAGAGCTTGCCTAGGAACTTTCCTGACTGTAGTAGCAGGAAGATAGTAACTTACAGAGATTTTATGTTTCTTGAATTTTACCTTCTCAACTTGTCCAATGGTGGCCAGTTAGTAACGTGTACATAGTTATTCACTGTGCCTTAAAGTTTTATACTTTGTTTATACAAACTATAAAATTTCCCAGAGATACATTAAATGGTTCTGTCTCAAAAAAATTCCCTATTTAACCAAGAGCTGACTGTGTGCTATGAGCCTGGTTGAAAATTTTGCAGATAAAATTAAGATATATATGAAATAGTATACTATTCCTGAAAAAAGCATTTAAGAAAGCTCCAGTCCCGCTTTTAAGAGTAAAATATTTGTACTTACTAACTCAGAGACCATTATGGGCCACAATGAAGTCAAATGTTGGGGAGATATTCTTAGCAGCAAAACTCTGAAAAAAAGAAACATCTGAGCAGCAACTATGGATGTCTGTCCAACTCTGAGATTGTCTGTCAGGCGTTCTAAGGAAAGAAGATTTTAAAGATGTCACACAAATATGCAGTTTGAGGTTTCTCATTAGACAAAAATATAAAACTGTATTTGTTTTGACATTTAACAACAATACAGCCTAAGACCCCCCTTGTTTACCTCCAGCCCTCTTCTTTATGAGGTGAAGCAGTTCATGGCCTTTGCTAAAGGAATGAACCAAGTGGCTCTTATTTCCCTGCCACAGCTGACCAGAAAAATATCAACTTCTGACTTAACCCAGAAATCCACTGGATGACCAATGACCACTAAATTCCCTTCTGAGAATATGAAATATAAGACACAAGAACCACAGACAGTCCTTGGTGAGTGATGGTGCTCTAGGATCACAGAGGTTGGCTGGCCGCTGACACCATATTCTGAGAGTGAGGAGTGGGAAGTGGCGTGAGTGAATAAAAGGAGAGGTATTCAATGAAGTTGGGATTTCATGGCCAAGACAAAAACTTTAATTCCTGTAGGGAAAAAAGGTGTGAGTTCCTCTAGCCCCTAGCAGTCTTCCCCACTTCTCCACTGAAGTAACTGTCTGCAGAATGTGATTTTCCTCCCCATAATTTAAGGTTTCTTAGGAACATAACAAATTGCTATGGCAAACAGCTAAACTACAGTCATGCTAGTTAAGATTTGTTTGTAGTATCTTAGTAATAAACTTGCCTTTATCTGAACTAGCTTGAGTAGGTTTATACATCTTGCTTTTTCAGCCTGGGCATTATTGCTCCACAGGGGCCAGTCAAGTGTCCCAAGACTATCAGAGAACGCTCTGAATTCTATTACCCCAGGACCTCCCGGAGGCTGGGCCTTTCAACAGTTTAGGGGACAATGACAGTAAAAGGAAAGTGCTTTGTAAAGTGTCAGGTTTTTTTTGTTTTTGTTTTTTTTAAGACTTATTTGTTTGACAGAGAGAGAGCATGCACACAAGCAGGGGGAGCAGCAGAGGGAGAGGGAAAAGCAGGCTCCTTGCTGAGCAGAAAGCCCGATGCAGGGCTCAATCCCAGAACCCTGGGACTATGACCCGAACTGAAGGCAGATGCTTAACCGACTGAGCCACCCAGGCGCCCCTGTAAAGTGTCAGTTAACAAAAAATGAAAGGGGGTAAAAATGTCTATTTTTTAAAACATGGAGCATTTTTAGAAATACAGCACTTGAGCTATGCAAAATGCAGGGGTATGTGGAGAAATTTCTCCTTCCCTAAGGGCCCAAAACCATCTCTGAATTTAGTCAGTGCGCGCGTGCACACACACACACACTTTTATAGAATACATACAGTATTATATTGCCCCTACCTCTTTCTTCCTCTCAGAGGCATGATTTCTTAGAACGTTGGATGCTTAGATTCTGCCGTGGTCAAACCATATGACACTGTTTGAGAAAGGCTCTGGTCTGTTCTTTTCCTGTTCTACATGCCTAATACTGTCTCTTTAGCTCTCTGGGCCTTACCCTGCATTTTAAAGGTGTGTGTGATGGGAGACGGGGGAGAGAACGACAGGCGTTTGACCTCAGAGTGGAAAGGCACCAAAGGGACTGTCTGGTGCACTGGCCTACACGTTCTCCTTTCTAGCTTCCTCCTCTTGCGTCCACTGAGAGCGGACTCAAGGCTGCACTTTCCAGCGCTGTCGAGTGACCAGGTGCATACAGACCACCACGGACGCTGCACACGCACTAGAGGACAGGTGATTCCTGTTCTTGTTTCTCCCCTCTATGATTTGTAGGGATGCAACAAAGTACGGCTTTGACTCTGCATTCACTTTTTTTTTTAAATGTAAATCCAATTTCGTTAACATATACTGTACTATTAGTTTCTGGGGTATAATTTAGTGATTCATCAGTTGCATATAACACCCAGTGCTCATCACATCCAGTGCCTTCCTAAATGCCCATCCTCTCCAGTGACCTTCTGTTTTTTTCCTAGAGTTAAGAGTCTCTTACGGCCCTCTGCATTCAGCCAAAGTCTTTGGAGAGCTGCCATCATCCTTACTGGCAATCCTGGCCACCATCTGACTGAATCAGCAATTCAAGAAAGGATCTGTTGATATCTGAACATTAGCTTTCATGTATTTCAAGTACTCAGGACATCATGACGTGAAAATCTCCTTACGTGTTTCACAGGTTGAAATTACGTCAGTTTTGGTATAAAGATATTTTATTATTGCAAATATAAAATACAGTCATAATTAATAATTGTGAGAGCTATTAATGTTCTGAACTACAACAATTAGGGCCTTTCAAATAGTTAATCAAGGAGGCACATGGGCTGATAATTACTACTAATATTTTTTTTTTTAAAGATTTTATTTATTTATTTGAGAGAGAGAATGAGATAGAGAGCATGAGAGGGGGGAGGGTCAGAGAGAGAGGCAGACTCCCTGCTGAGCAGGGAGCCCAACGTGGGACTCGATCCCGGGACTCCATGATCATGACCTGAGCCGAAGGCAGTCGCTTAACCAACTGAGCCACCCGGGCGCCCGATTACTACTAATATTAAGAGTAATCAGGATGACTTGGGCAAGAGAACATGCTTTGTGAGCTGACAGATACGTTTATATATTTATTTATCTATTGATTGATTGTAGGCTCCACGCCTGGCATGGAGCCCAGTGCAGGCCTTGAACTCAAGACCCTGAGATCAAGACCTCAGCTGAGATCAAGAGTCAGGCACTTAGCCTACTAAGCCACCAGGAGTCCCAACTAACAGATGTTTATAAACACTTTTTTTTAAAGGGCAGAGCAAGAGATTTATGTCATAATTCTACCTGGAAACAACCCAAATGCCCTACCATTGGTGAACTGATGAGCAAGTTACAGAATGGAATGCTGTTCAGCAATAAAAAACAGTATGCTGTTGATAAATACGATGGAACGGATGACTCTCAAAATACATTATGCAAGTCAAAGAAGCCGGACTCAAAGGCTGCACTCCACCTAATTACATTTAGGACATTCTGGAAAAGATGAAACTGTATGAGCGGAAGGCAGATTAGCACTTGCTAGGGGCCACGGAAGGGGAGGGGGATGACTTCCAAGGGGCAGAGGAGAACTTTCTGGGTGATGGAAATGTTCTACATGTTGACTATGGTGATGGTTCCATGACTACATGTGCTCATCAAAATTTACAGAGCTATATACCCAAAAGGGTGACTTTTATTGTATGTAAATTATACCTTAGTAAACCTGGCCCTCAATAAAGAATTTACAACATAATTCTAATATTTGTAAAATTATTTGTTACACTAGTCTTCATAATATTAAACAACTCCTTTAAGAATTGTATTAATTTTATCTGATTCCATTCAGGCTATGAGTCTTAAGGGAAACACATTTCTATTTGAGAATTCTTTTGTATCTTGGAGAAGGGTGAATTTAGACAGAATGCCCACTTCACCACCTCCACATTTTATGAGGGAAAAAAACCCTTTAAAATCATGTACAATAGCTGTAATAATTCATTTTTGAAGCAAGGAATATGGTGAGTACAAAAGAGAGAAAAACTGTTAAGGAAAGGTTAAGGACTTCTCCTTCACTAGCCTTGGGGGTTAGTGCTGTAACCTCCAAGTATCTTGACTGCAGGTGGGACAACGCTAAGAAAGTACCGTCAGACTTTTAGAACTGCCTAATAAAAACTCATAGCATTACAATCATTGACTTTTTTTTTTTTTTTTTAGATTTTATTTATTTTTTAGAGAGCGAGTGAGAGAGAAACAGCATGAGAGGGGAGA